TTATCAGGAGGGAGCTTACTTTGGAGTCATCATTCAGCAAGCTGATCTTCTGAGTCCATATGGAACCAAAAGTGCAGTTAGATCGTAACATTGTGTAATGTGAGGTCACACTGCGTGAGGTGAGCAGATATATGGTGGAGGATGTCTTTGAAAAAACGGAAGGTGGTCTGTTCCACTCCATCTGTCCAGATCAGATAGGAGGGTGGTTGGATGTGTACGGACTGCTGCCTATAGAGCAGAGCAGGCTGTGGCCGCGTCCGCTCTGCATAAGTGCAACAGACACAAACCTCTCATCTGGACACTCCGCTCAGCAGGTGAATTCCCTGCTGAGAAAAAACAGACGATAAGAAAGGGGCTTTATCTGCTGTGCGGAGCATTGCCAGTTCACAATTGTCTTGCACAGAGCAGGCCCAAATATCCTCTTCTGGTCTGGTTTCCCCCTGCCGGCACTCCTGGCAAGCTGCTTGCTATGTGGGCACTCGTGCAGGCTTGATCCCGAGCTGGGCTATGTGCGTCTATTGACATATTGATACCCACAGCGTGGCTTGGACGCAACCCCTGCTCCCTCATCAGAGGATCTGATTGATAGCAACAGGGCGCAATTGTTCCCGCTTTTGCCTCCATGTCCTGTGAGGCTTGCAGGCAGAGCAATGGATTGAGATCGGGCTCAGGTAAATATTTAGGGGGTGCTGGGGAAACTGACCATGGAAGCAGTTGCTGCCAAATTACGTACATATACATGATTGACTTCAAGTGGTTGTACGGGGGTTATGTCTGCAGCTGTCAGCCATAACCCCGGTATTGTTTTCTTCACTAATGCCCTACCAAGTAAACAATCCTAGCGGCTATTGGGCTGCTGGATTGCTTTTACAGGTGGCGGAAGGGAGTCGCCCTTCTCCCGCCTCTGTCCAGTGCCTCTCCAGACTCTCCTGTCTAGATTGGGAGCCTGGGATCTGATCCAGCGGCTGCACCAGCTTACAATAGAGGTGTTTAGAGACTGAATTGTCTCTGATCACCTCTATTGTCTAGGAGACCAGAAGCGATGAGCATTTGTCGCTTGCGTTTTTTTTTTTTGTTTTTTTGGACAGCATGAGATCAATGTGGTTTTTTTTTTTTTTTTTTTTTTATTTTTGCTCTCAAGCTTTCAAGGGTAGAGAAGGGATCTGGAGTTTTGTAGACCCAAGACGTCTCCATAAAGAGGACTTGTCATGCTTTATTTCTATCATAAGGGATGCTTACATTTCTTGTGATGAGAATAAAAGTGCTAAAAAAAATAAAAAGGAACAGTGTAAAAATAATTTTTTTTAAATAAAATAAAATTCATGCACAGAGGCAAACACATACGTCAGTCACGTATATGAAAACAATGTTGGCACTACACATGCGAGGTATCGACATGAACGTTCTAGTAAGAGCAATAATTCTAGCGCTAGACCTCCTTTGTAACTCTAAACTGGTAATATTAAAAAAAAAAGTTCAAACTTCACCTATTGAGATTTTTAAGTCTCATAGTTTGTTTCCATTCCACGTGAGTCACATGTTGAGTATATATTTACTTATTGTAACATCATGTTTTATATTTTGACAAGACATTGGGTTATATATAGTGTTTTTTGCAATAAAGTGTATTTTTTTTTTCCAAAAACATTGCATTTGAAAAACCGCTGCGTAAATACCGTGTGACATAAAAAATTGCAATGGCCACCTTTTTTTTTTTTTTTTTTTTTTTTCCTCTAGGGCCTCTGCATTTATATAAATGTTTGGCGGTTCTACGTTACTTTCTAGCAAAAAAGTAAGCCCCCCCAACAGAAAGTGTCTGAATAGGCCTGGTCATCAAGTGGTTAAAAGTTAAGCCTTCAGATTAGAACATGGGTACTCAACCTGTGGCCCTTTAGCTGTTGCGGAAGTACAGATCCCACCATGCCTCTTCCTTTGGGAGTTATGCTTGTAACTGTCGGCCTTGCAGTGCCTCATGGGATTTGTAGTTCTGCAATACCTGGAGGGCCACAGGTTGTGCTGTAGAACCTCTTCAGTGCCCCTTTTGACCACCAGTTCACATCTCTGCAGCCGTGCGGGCCGCGTTTTGCACGGGCACGAGTGCCCATTCATTTGTATGGACTCCCGTGCCTGTGACACACAGGGAAGAAGTCCCTGCACTCTTTTGGAAAACGCAGCCCGTACGGGAACCTCGGTTTCCCAGTACGGTTGTGTTTTCCAGTGCGGGCGGCGTGCCATTAGAATTGCAGCCGCCCGCGGGTCCGCAATTTTCTGTGCGGGTGGTGCGGCTGCACGGATTTTCGTGCGGATCCGCAACGGCACCACCCGCACAGATGCGAACCTAGGGTGATATAGACTCAGTATGTGATTATAACATATCGCATTACATTTCCTCCACAAACTTCCACAAGGGGGCATTGCGTACATATTTCTTTCACAGCTGAATCTGTTAAAATATATATAATTTGTGTTAAACTTTTTGTCCTTTTTTTTTCTTTTATGTTTATATTCTTACTGCTTTTGTTTCTCCATAAATATTAAATATATATAAATAAATATTGGCGCCCCTGCATTTCTGCGGGGATAATCAGATCATGTACCACTTCACCCAGAAAATTGTCGCAATTACGAATGTTTCGGCATTCTCATGTTTTTCTTTTGTTTGTTTCTTTTGGTATGACTCACATAAAGTGGAGAAAAAAAAAGCCAAATCTGACAGATTCCACGCAAAACACCAAAAATGGACTGGACAAAATACTGGCGCCGCCTTCAAAATTGGAAGAAATAATTGCCTTTTAAGTTTGTGATGCTCCTGTATTTGTAACTAAACTCGCCTGTATCAATTAACTGGCGCTGACAATATAGAAATCACACCGACAACCATTTAAAATGATGAAAAACTGACTCAACTATTCTGCTGTGTGTCTTTGTGCCACATGGAGAAGAGAGAGAGAGCAGCAAAGAATTGTCTGAGGATTTGATAAGGAAACTTGTGGAAAAGCATGGACTATCTCAAGGATGCATGTCCATCTCCGGAGATCTTAATGTTCTTGTGTTCACTGTGCGCAATATTGTCAAGAAGTTTACAGCCTATGGCACTGTAGCTAATCTCCCTGGACGTGGACAAAAGAGAAAAATTGATCATAGATTGTAATGGAGGATTGTTCGACTGGTGGATAGAGAATCTCTATCAAAGCTGACCTTTAGGCAGAGGGTACAGCTGTGTCGGCTCGCACTATACGTCACCATCTAAATGAAAAGGTATGCTATGGTAGATTACCAAGGAGGACCCCACTGCTGGCACAGAAGCCAGATTGGAGTTTGCCAAAACTTGCCTGACGAAGCCAAAGTCCTTTTAGGAGGATATGCGCTGTGGACAGACGAAACAAAACTACAGCTTTCTGGTAAAGCCCATCATTCTACCGTTTTCAGAAAAAGAAATGAGGCCTTTAGGCCTCACGCACATGGGACGTTTTTACAGTGGCTGTTTTTGGCTTTTGGCGTTTTTTTTTTTTCTCTACAGCCAGGAAACTCCCCAGCATGTTATCCTATGTGTCCATGCACACATAGGCGTTAATCAGCGTTTTTTTGGCTGGGACATTTTCTGTCTGGGAAAAAAAAAAACAACTAGTGGGTTTCAAGAGGAGTTGTTTAGCTGTAAAAATGCTCTAATGCTGATAAAAGCTGAAAACCGCTAAAAAAGTGTGGCTCTCCGGCATTCATGAGCGATTTTTGAGCCTGAAGATTTTGTGGGCGTATAACTTTGCTAAAAAACAAACGCTGAAAATCACTAAAAAAAGCTGAAAAAAGCGAATGCAAAAAATGCAACAAAACTCAAGTTTTTTAACTTGGTATTCTACAGCTAACGCTACTGGCGTTTTTATAAGGTCCAGTGTGCGTGAGGCCTTAAAGACGAGTACAGTCCCTACAGTCACCCTAGGTTCCCATCTGTGCCGCTGCGCATCCGCACAAAGATCTGTGCATCCGCACCACCCGCACAGAAGAATGCGGACCTGTGGGCAGGTGCCATTTAGTTCTAATGGCACGCCGCCCGCACTGGAAAACGCAACTGTACTGGGAACCGAGATTCCCATGCGGGCTGCGTTTTCAGAAGTGCAGGAACTCTCTGCGTGGCACGGGAGTCCATTCAAATGAATGGGCTCCCGTGCTCACGGAAAACGTGGGCCACACGGCTGCATATATGTGAAACCGGGCTCAAACATGGTGCAGGTTCACTGATGTTTTGGGGTTGCTTTGCTGCTTCAGGCACTGGATGTCGTGACCGTGCGCATGGCATTATGAAATCTGAAGAATTCTGGGGTGTAATGTAGGGCCCAGTGTCAGAAAGTTGGGTCTCTGTCAGAGGGCAGCAGGACAATGACCCAAAGCACATGTCAAAAAGCACCCAAAATGGTTTCCGACAAAGCGCTGGAGAGTACCAAAATGGCAGCAATGAGTCCAGATCTCAATCTCATAGAGCTCCTGTGAAGAGATCTCGAAACAGCAGTTGGGAAAAGGAACCCTTCCAATCTGAGAGAACTGGAGCAGTTGGTGAAAGAAGAGCGTGCCAAAATTCCAGTAGAGAGGTGGAAGAAACTCATTGATGGTTACAGGAAACCATTGATTTCAGTTATTTTTCGAAGGGGTGTGGTGAAAAAATAAATACATTTAGGGTACCATTCATTTTGTCCAGTCCATTTTTTGGAGTTTTGTGTGGAATGTGTCAGATTTGGCTTTTTGGTTATCCACTCTTTTGTATCCTACCATTACAAACAAAAGAAACATGAAAATGCCTAAACGTTTGTAATTGCAACAATTTTCAGGGTGAAGTGGTGCATATCTAACAGAGTTCAGGGGGGGCAATATTTCTGGCCATGACTGTATGTTTATATGGTACTGACTATTTAAGCCACTTAGCCAACACTTGTCCTTGGTGGGAAGGAAGCTTTGCTGATGTTTCTCCCCTGACTAATGTTTCCTGTTTATTCTATCCTCTCTCATAGACGAAACAGAGTTTCGGAACTTTGTTGTTTGGTTAGAAGATCAGAAAATTAGACACTACAAAATAGAAGATCGGGGGAATCTAAGAAATATACACAGCAGCGAATGGCCCAATCAGTATGAAAAGGTATAACTGGATGAATCTCGGCACAGCGTTCATTGTATAATAGAACAGAAAATGTGTGGAACTCATGGTTGGCGTTCAGTGGGAGAGGCAGACAGTATCCAAGAGAAAATGCCACAACCATGCATCTCCCTATCTCTTCCACTGAAGCGGGTGGGTGCGAGGGCACTCGCCGCAACGCTTCTGTTTATTCCAAAAAATTGTCAAGGGCTAAAAACTTTTCGATTTTAAGTGTTTTTAGCCTTTGCTACTTCTAAATACTATATTCTGTATAGAATAGATGCTGAGTGCCCTTGAAATCTTTCTGTGAGTATACAGTGTCCATTGTGATCGTGTGGACCAGTCTACTTTCACAACAAAGGAGATTGTGCATGGTTCTGCACTACAGGTAATTACTGCTTTATGGGGGCAATATGCAAATTTTACCACCTAAAGAAGATGTAAACCTTTAGGCCTCATGCATACAGGTGTACCTATACGTACACCCATGCATTTGTTTGCAGGATGTCCCATTCATGTCTAATGGGACACAGTGGTTGCGTGGACAGTTTGGTCACAATTTGACATTGGTGCGGGTGCGTGTCCCTGAACGCAGATGGTGAGTTTGAGGACCCGCTCAGATTTCGAATTGGGACCAGTGTTCGTGCAGCTGCTGTGCCCTAATAGACATGAATTGGATTGCCTGCATGTGGATGCACGAAACGTGTGCATGCCCGGGGAGGCAAAGACGACCCTTTGCACAGGTGTACATATAGGTATCCCTGTGTGAATGAAGCCTTAACTGAACGACAAAGCATAGTCCTATCATAACTTGGGAATTTTTTATTTTCATGAAATACTCTTACAGTCATTGATGGACACAGCCTCTTCTTAAAGCGGAGTTCCAGCTGAACGAAAAAAAAAGTCAGCAGCTACAAAAACTGTAGCTGCTGACTTTTAAAATACAGACACTTACCTGTCCCTCGGTCCAGCAGTGTCCTCACTGCGGCAGATTTCACCGGCATCTTCAGTGCGGGCACCCGGCTGTGACAGCTTGCGGCTTCACAGCCGGGTGCCCACTGCGCATGCGGGAGAAGCACTGTGCTTTAATGGCCCTGTAGTCTTCTGGGACCTGTCACCTGTCCCAGAAGACTACGGAGAGGGAGGGGGGAGGACAACATCCGCTTCCGATCGCCTAGGTGATCGAAGTGGGAGCGGGTACCTGTCAAATTCAGGTACCCACTCCCCCAAACGTGCGAATCCTTAATGGGGAGCGGGGGACAAGTGCTTAAAGCGGAACTTCCCGTTTTGGGTGGAGCTCCGCTTTAACCTCGATCATAGGGTTTATAGCGCCACCTACATGAGTATAATGAATGGGTTGTCTTAACGCAACACAACTTACCATGTGCATCAATGCACTGCAAAGGAACACTTTAGTGTGAATGGGCCCTACAGATTCTTTACACTGCGCACCGATTATGCAGACACATTCTACTGATGTCACAATAGATACATTTTTGTTACCGTAAAATCCCCTACTCTGAGTTCACTGACGGACATGGCCTCTTCCTAATCTCGACCATAGGGCTTATATCTCCACCTACAGGAGTAGGACACTAGGCAGAAAAGAAACTCTGCACTGCTTATAACCTGTCTTCTGCGCAGGATAAGGCTGAAGGGATTCCAGTCATTCTGTTGGCTCGGGGTGGCCTCTCGACCCTTGTACACTGACGTAGTGCAGCCTGTCGCAGACTCCCCCTAGCAGCTGCCTCAAGAGCCAATCTTCCACCACACTTTGCCATTGTTGTCTTATGGCTTGCCAATTGAAAGCCCACTTTTTAGGGATGGAGGCTTGCCTTTGTTGTCTTATGGCTTGCCAATTGAAAGCCCACTTCTTAGGGATGGAGGCTTGCCTTTGTTGTCCTTTGGCTTGCCAATTGAAAGCCCACTTCTTAGGGATGGAGGCTTGCCTTTGTTGTCCTTTGGCTTGCCAATTGAAAGCCCACTTCTTAGGGATGGAGGCTTGCCTTTGTTGTCCTTTGGCTTGCCAATTGAAAGCCCACTTCTTAGGGATGGAGGCTTGCCTTTGTTGTCCTTTGGCTTGCCAATTGAAAGCCCACTTCTTAGGGATGGAGGCTTGCCTTTGTTGTCCTTTGGCTTGCCAATTGAAAGCCCACTTCTTAGGGATGGAGGCTTGTCAGAGTCAGTGATACTCATCATGTTTTAGGCACAAAAATCTATCTCTAGGAAGACCTACTATAGCACTTGTAAGGGCTACATTTCGTGGGATGGGGCGCTGAGGGTGTCTATCCTTGATCTTTCTCAGTGGTGCAGATTTGGACTTTTCTTCAGCGGGGAGTGGAACAAAAGCTTGCCTACAGTACTATCTAAGGCTGGGTTTCTGACCTTGTGATTTTATTTCAGCATACCTTGGCCACACACCTTTTTGATTCGTACCTTCATTCTGAGGATTTGACATGTGGCTCCTCCGATACATTGTCATTTTCCACTATGGGACGTAAATCTGGTTTGTGACCGTCGGAGCTTCCCTTGCTTGCGCTGTCTTGGAACAGTTGCCTTATTAGTTTTTACTCCCGCGTGCAGGTTGTTGGAGCTGGCAGCCTGTCCAGTAAGTCTCCTCCTTTGGTTTTACTTTAGGATAAGGTGATTCTGTTCTTCCTTTCTTTGGAAGCTAGTGTCTAGCTTTCATTTGAATTACGTTTTGTCCTGCCTCCCTGTGCCCCCATGGCCCTCGCATCCTCAGGAGGTTACATTTCTTGGATATGGTTCTGGGAATTTGCATTTTTCTTCTGCTGCAGCTTCCTTTCGGAGATCGGACACTCTCTTTGTAGTCACGGATCAGTCAAAGGGCCTGGCGGCCTCCTCTGCCATAATCTTTGCGTGAATCAGGCATCCGGTGGTTTTGGCGTACGCCATTGGGGTTGGGTTCCTCCATTCCCAGTTACAGCACATTCCGCCAAGGCAATTGGTGCCCCCTGGGTTTTATGACATCCACTGTCTTTGTCTCTAGCTGGTAAGGTGGCTTCTGGCTGTACACACCTATCTAGGTTTTCTATGGTTTATGTTTGTGTGTCTTCGGATGCTTTCTTTGGCTATACAGTTTCCTTGCGGCTGTTTGGGGTTTTCTGTCCCTCTTAATGGGGTTTCTTTTTGGGTAGTTGTTTTCTGTTCCTGTGTTCTGGGACATGGTGGCTGTTTTTTTTGGTTCTTGTTTACCCACCCCCCCTGTGTCTTTTGGCACGACTTTTGGACATCCCTATAGTCGAGATTAAAAAGAGACTGTGTCCATCAATAAACGAAAGAGAAAATGGGATTTTTTTTTGTTATTCTAAAATATTTTTTTTTTTTTTCTCTGAATTCATTGAAGGATATCACACCTGCTCCTCTATTGGAGTTTTTTCTTCTGACACTGCTTGGAACTAAATGCAAATGGGAAACAAAAAAGAGGGCACACCGAACTAGTGCATTATCGTTTAAAAATGTATTTATTGAAGAAAAAAAGTAAGTATCACACTTACAATAGTGGCTCTCAGGTTGTGTCCTCGAAACGGGTTAGACAGTTGGTCATCCATCGTATGGACTCAGATGCTGTTTGGATCAAACATCTTGTTCAGTTTGACATGCCTGTGTTATTATGTCTATTGTAAGTATGATACTTACTTTTTTTTTCTTCAATAAATAAATCTTTTAAACGATAATGCACTAGGTCGGTGCGCCCCCTTTTTTGTTTCTCCATTTGCATTTAGTGTATTTGGTCCACCCCGGTCTGCTGAGGGCAGCAAGCAGTGCATATTCCAGAACATTCCTATTGGGTCTGAGTCCATTCCTAGCGCAGGAGAAAAGTGTTTGTTGTACTGCTTGGAACTAACTGGTTTGCCTATAGCAGAGAGGGGGTTTATACCAGCTAGAATGGCCTATAGGCAGTGCTGAGTGTCTTTTCCGTGTAGTGGCACTATAAATCCTATGGTCGAGATTAAGAGGCTGTATTCGGCAATCAACTCAGAGAAAGGGATTTTATGTAACAAAAAATCTGTTTTTTTGGGGGGTTTTTTGGCATTCATCTTTGTGCTGCTGATTTTCACCAGACCCTTTGCAGCCTCTTCCTGTCTAGATTCACTCCTGGCTGTGTGGCATTTCTGAGGGGCATGTTCCTATTTCTTCTGACTTCAGTAGACCATGTCTATGTAATCAGTGGAGAGCATCTGTAGGGCCCATTCACACTATAGTGTTCCTTCGCAGTGTGTTGATGCACTTAATAAGGTGTGTTTGTTAGGGCAGCCCATTTATTATCAATCAAAGAAAAAATATAGAAAAATATATAATTATATGATAATAATCATAGTCCCATAATTATATATTTTTCTGTATGGTGAATAGGTATAATGTAAATTATTTGCGCTTTTTTTTTTTTTTTTTAATTATTTTGGTGTCAGACACTTGGGTACAGCAGCATTTAATTTAAATATATATATTTATATAGCTAAAAATGTGTATTAATGTAAGAAGCCAAGGAAAGGTGGAAAAATCTCCAAAAGGCATCAAATTACAGATTAGACATTCTTATAATATGTCAACAAAAGTTAGATTTTATTTCCATCATTTACACTTTCAAAAATAACAGAAAACAAAAAAATGGCGTCTGCAAAAGTTTGGGCACCCTGCAGAGTTAATATCTTGTACTGCCCCCTTTGGCAAGTATCACAGCTTGTAAACGCTTTTTGTAGCCAGCCAAGAGTCTTTCAATTCTTGTTTGAGGTATCTTTGCCCATTCTTCCTTACAAAAGTCTTCCAGTTCTTTGAGATTTCTGGGCTGTCTGTCACGCACTGCTCTTTTGTGAAGGCCATGGCAAAACCTTCAGTTTACTCCTCTTGATGTAATCCCCCGTGGATTTCGAGGTGTGTTTAGGATCATTCTCCATTTGTAGAAGCCCTCCTCTCTTTAACTTCAGCTTTCTCACAGATGGCACATTAATACAAATTTTTAGCTGGGGTGCCCAAACTTC